AGCGCCCCCCCCCCCCCCCAGCCACCCCAGACCCACGGCCGGGAAGCACCCTCCACCCCCACAGCTACCTCAGAGCCACGGCCGGGAAGCACCCTACACCCCCACAGCTACCGCAGAGCCACGGCCGGGAAGCACCCTACACCCCCACAGCTACCGCAGAGCCACGGCCGGGAAGCACCCTACACCCCCACAGCTACCTCAGAGCCACGGCCGGGAAGCACCCTACACCCCCACAGCTACCGCAGAGCCACGGCCGGGAAGCGCCCTACACCCCCACAGCTGCCCCGGAGCTTGTGGGGAGCTGGGGCACAGGAGCAGCAGCTGGGGGTCCGGAAACGTGGCAGTGGCTGAGGCATGATGCCCACGCAGAGTGACCCTGGCAGCGAGACTCGGCAGGGGCACAGAACACGTCCCGGGATCCAGCACAGGGCGCTCGTCCAGCACCATGGAAACCCTGCTACGACCACTGAGCTCATCGGTGATGCAGCTGTCCCTGCCCGGCGGCCAGCGCGCTCCAAGAACCAGTGACTCCCACGTGCAAGGCACACGGCTCCCTCGCGCCGCTCGCCCTCACCTCCCATACTTGGCGGCTGTGGATTCAGACCACTGGCTGGAGGCGGAGATGTCCTCGTCCGGGATGTGGCCGCCGGACATGCCCAGGGGATAGCGGCACACGGCTGAAACGAGACACCCAGCAGCTCAGTCTCTCCAGGCACCACTGGCTGCGGCTTCGTTTGCTCCAGTGCGTGTGATTCTGCAGGAACTCAGAGCTGGCCCCGGGAGGCCAGGCACGGTGCACTGGCTCCGGCTTCGTTTGCTCCAGTGCGTGTGATTCTGCAGGAACTCAGAGCTGGCCCCGGGAGGCCAGGCACGGTGCAGGCAGCCTGTGGCAAGCTCTCCCCACTGCATGCCAGCCTTGCCCCACCACTCCCCTTCCAGCTCAGTCCTGGGGCCTCCCCAAAGCTCTGCTCATGCACCCGACATGCCAGCAGGGCTCAGTAGAACAGGTCCATCAGCGATCTATAGGAGCGCCTCCTGCCCCACACGCGTACTGATGCCAGGTATCTGGTGTAGACCCACAGATGCCCCGGCTATGCTCAGGTAGCCATTCTGGATACACCCTGGCAGCCCCTCTCCTCCTGTGTCCTCCCCCAGCTCCAGATACGCTTCCCTCCTCTAGAGCCAGAGTAACAGCTCTGCCACGTGCTGCCGCTCCTACCGGACTCCCACCCAGCTCTGCCAGTGCCCCTCACCCTGCCCGTGAGCCCCACTAGCCCCATCAAGCCAGCTTGGCCACTGCCCCACAGCAGGTCACACCTGTGCGGCTCCCATGCGGCCACGGCACGTGGCTCCCCTCAGCAGGATGGGAGGGGCAGGGACCTGAGGCAGCAACTGGCTTGTGGTCGGCAGTGGGAGCGTCGCTGGCATGCAGGAGGAGCCCCCCGGCTTGGCCCGGCTGGAGTCCCCAGCAGCCGCTGGCCACACAGAGACTGCTGCAACCCTGGAGTAGCAGCCGAGCTCCCCGCAGCCGAAGGAGCACCAGGCAACCCTGCTCTGGCCGGCCGGCCTCAGGAAGAGCAAGTCACAGACCCCCTGCATCAGGCTGGCCCCAGGGGGCGAGCCGCAAGCCACAGCAGAGCTGCCGGAGCCTGGGAGGAAGAGCCACACAGCACCGCTCGGACTAGTCAGCGGGCGGAAGAGCCTCGGGTTCTCGCACTGCCTTGTGCCACCCGGCAGTGGGGCAAAGCCCTCGTGCCTCTCGGGGAGTCGCAGGGAGCTGGTTCTCCTGGGCCTCTGGGGACAGGACAAGCGGCAACGGTGAGTGAGCGCGTGGCCCCGGGCTGCCCTGCGCTGCTGGCTCAGCACGTTTTACAGGAGGAAATTGACTGGGAGAAGGGGCTTGCTCCCTTTGCTAGGAAGGCCATGTCCTTCCCCCGCCCTAGGGACGTGCAGCAGCCTCTTAGAGCCCAGCCCAGCTTCCTTCCCCAGGCTGGGAGTGGAAAAGCACCGGGGCGGCGGCCATGGCTGGGGCTTGGCACTCGCCAGAGCCCATGTGCAGCAGCAGCTCCCACGTGGCTTCCCGCGAGCTACGTGTCCCCCTCCCTGCCAAGCCAGCTCCTCAACGAGCTGCTTGTTCCCTGCTGTTTACTGTCTCACCACTGGCTCCGGCCCACTAAGCTCCAGCCATAAACTGCCTCCAAGTGCACACCCACCCGCAGCCCAGAGCCCGCCAGAGGCAGCAGACAGACTCCTGCTACGCAGTCAGCAGCCATCCTCCTTTGGGACCTCTGCAGGGACTACAAATCCCAGCATGCAACGCTCCACCGGGAGACGGGGGACCATTTCCAATCCCACCGGCGCGAGAGGCCCACAAGCAGCTGCCCCGTGTTTGGCTGACGCGAGCCAGCGCTGTCCAAGCAAAGTCGCGTGTGGGTCCTCGGAAACCACCAGGGGCTCTGCAGCCTGGCCACGCCCTGCTATTCAACCCCCAAAGGCACGAGACTTCAAAGCGCAGGACAGAACGTCGGTCTCATTTCACCGGCTGGGCCCGAGCCTTCGGCCAACACACAGCTCCCGAGTCGGCTCTGTCTGTACAACCACCCGGGCGAGAAACGTCATTCCAATGGAAACGGAGATTCCCCCGAGCGCCCTCAGCCCAGGAGCCGGCGTGTTAACGAACACACCGTCCAGCGCGTGACTGTAGGGACGTTAATGGCTAACTGGATAACTGGTCAGCCTCACCCTTAGGTGGGCACTGGTCCACGGCAGGCCTGGCCTGGGCACAGCGTTGGCCAGGTGCTCCAGCCCCCCTACCTGAACCGGTTAACTAGTTAAACTTAACCTTTAACCTGTTAACTAGTTAAAGGTGATTTCACCTCCCCACAAGACTGGCAATAAACGGTCTGACCTGGCAGCCCTGTGTACGTACCCTATGGCCGACAGAGGGCTGCCGAATGCCTCCGACATGAGAGGGAGACGAAGGTTAATTCATTGGGACGTTACAGTGCTGGGCGCCAGGGTGCAGGGACAGAGTGTCCCAAGTGGGAGCATCAGAGCCCAGGCAGTGAAGCCAGGACATTCACAAAGGGCTGCTTTCACTTTGGGTAGAGATGTCGTTCCTGTCCAGCTTGCCCGCCCCACACAAGTGGCACAAACAGCCCCTGGCACCGTCTCCACCCTCGGACTGGCAAACGGTGCCCGTGGGCACCACAGCACAAGCTGCTCTCACTCCCGCCTGAGCCAGCTGCATTCACGTGTCTCATCCGCCTTCCGCCCACGGGTTCCTCTGCAATTTGGACAGTGCCTGCAGCACAAGCTGCTCCCTCTCCCGCCTGAGCCAGCTGCATTCACGTGTCTCATCCGCCTTCCGCCCACGGGTTCCTCTGCAATTTGGACAGTGCCTGCAGCTAACCCGCCTCTCTCGCCTTGCCTCCGTCCTGCCACAGCCCTTGGGCAGCTCGGGGCAGCTTGCTGCCTGGCCAGCTGGATGTATCTACCCCTCCCTCCAGATGGGGCGCTCTCCCCTACAGCTCTGCCACCCCGGCCTGGGCTCCCAGACTGAGCCAATCCACGCCCAGCGAGCCACATCTCCCCCTCTGGATCCATTTCTCACAGCAGGCTCCAGCCTGGCCAGTGTCTAATGCAAGTCAGCGCCAGCCCGCTGAGCAGAGGGGCAGCGCAGGCCAGCTACCACATGGCCTCTTCTCCCCAGCCCCTCTCTGCCCCTCCGTGGCCATGGGCCAAGCACTTTGCTGTGTCTGAACGTTAGCGTCCGACGCCCTTTGGCCCTGCACGGCGCTGTCCCAGACAGGTCAGCAGCACCCCAGCCCACCCACGCAGGCTCGCTGCTCACACTGGTTTTGCACCAAGGAATCCACAGGCGTCCCCATGGAACACAGGGGCTGGGATTCGGTGCGACCCAGGGCAGTTCTACAGCAAGGCTCTGTATTTCTGTCCTGTAAGGTGCTGTGATCCACACGATCCCAAGAGACACCTGGCAGAGCTCATTACTGCTGAAATACAGCCTCCCCGGGCAGGGGAGGGGAAGGCTCACAGCGCACAGCAATGCCATGCGGCTGCGTCTTTACAGGGAAGTGAAAAGTCATCGATTCCAAGGCCAGAAGGGGCCAGCAGGGCCCTTCAGTCTGACCTCCCATCCGCAGGCCAGAGAAATCCCTCCAAACTATCCCTGGAGCTTTAGAAAAACAGCCCAGTGAGAAAAATCCACCCGGCCCGTGGTCAGGAGATCCAAGGGCTAGTGACTCTCTCGGTGACAGATTGACCCCTCGTGCCATCTGAACTGCTCTGGCTTCAGCACCTCCCAGAAGCTCCTGCTTCATCTTCCTCTGCGAGCCCCATGGCCCAGCATTAAATGCTTGTTTGCTGTTGAGCGGCAGTCCCCAAGCCACATGGGACCAAACCAAACACTGACCAAACCAGAACCTGTGTGAGCAGTGGTAGCAGCCACAGGTCATGCGGGAAACCCTGGCGGGGCCGTTCCTTTGGGATCCGCTCGGGTACTTTGGCTCTAGGCCAGTCGCCGGCTGTCCCTGCCAGACATGCCAAATCCCGTCTTCCAAGGACACGGGTTAGCTCCTTTGGATTCAGCATGAAGCTGTGCATGATTCTTGGGGAAAATCCAGCAGTCTGGCCTGCCAATGGTTCTGATCCTGGAATTGCCTGGGTCGCGGTGGAAGCCAGCTGTGAGCCCCGACACGTCCCAGCTCCTCTACCACAGCCGAAGGGGCTAGATTCTGCTTCCAAGAACTCACCAGGGCAGACGTCACTTCCTGGTTTTATTTTCTTGCCTGTAGCAATTTTTTAAAAAGGCTCAAGAGCCCCTGGCTCTACACAGGGGCCAGGCATCTATCGAAAGGTTTATGAAGCAAGTCTTAGTTTGCTGCAAAAGCACCCGGCACGAGGAACAAAAACAGCCAGTTCAGCTTTCCTCAAACTCCAAAGGAAATGGAACCAGCTGGGACCAAACCGTGGAAAGGCCTTGCTCAAAGGGCAGGCTCCACACAAACGCAGGGAATCCCGTCAAACGTGCTCAGACTCAGTCTCCTCCGCATGCACACGCAGAGCCAGGCCCCAGGCCCCTTGCACCCTGTTGGCAGCGGGTGGCTTGCAGTAGGTGCTGGCAGAGTGCCCTGGGTTAGACTAGCAGGCCCCTTGCAGGGTAGATCCCTTGCAGGGATCTCTTGGTGAGCTGTGGCAGAGGCAGCAGTGGAATAGCGGAGGGTGACAGCTAAGGGACGTGAGGCAGCAGAGGTTAGTAGGTAGCGCAGTGTGCTAGACTCAGGAGACCTGCGCTCTAGCCCATTTTGCTGAGCTGTCTCAGTGTCCCCATCTGTAAAATGGGGGGAGAGAATGATACTGAGCCTGTTGCAAAGCACACTGAGAGCTACCGGTGACAGGAGCTCGGTGTCACTATTAGCAGAGTGGGTTGCAGGTTAGGACCGAGGGGCGCTGGGTCCTGCCCAGATGGTCTCTGACTGGCTGCGGGTGTCAGACCCTCCCTTTCAGGAACACAAAACACGCCCAGAGAGAACACGCTGGAAAGCAACTTGCTAAGTCTCCTGACGGAGGAGCGGCTGTAACCCTGGCCCTCTGCAGGCAACGGGGCTTTGCCACTGCCACGGTTGTAAGCCTGGCTGGGCAGGGCAGCCTCAGGA